TATATATATATATATATATATATATATATATATATATATATATATATAAAATAGTGGATAGTGTTTGACCAGGGACACTCAGATCTTATCCTTGCTACCAACACCCCACTCCAAAGGGAAGTATATCCCTGAGGACCAAGCCGGGCAAAGGACACTCCTAGGTACTTCGGAGGTTCTTCTGTAAGTCCCAGTAAAGAATCCTAATGAGCTAACTTAGGTTGGACTCAGATCTAAAGCCTGACGCTGCTCTCCTCAACCTGAGTTTAATCTAGGAATATAGCCTTGTCTATTGTGGATAGTTTGGTGGGGGGGGACTCAGAGCCCTGGAGTGAGAGCAGGAAAACCAAAGAATCATCCCAGTGCCTTTAATGCTTTGAGTATGACCACATGCCTCCCTCCACCATCTGTGCAGAGAAATAAGTGTCCAATGGGAAAGATAGGACCAGCCCCCAATGCAGATCCCACCCCTGTTCAAGATGGTCTTAATAGTTATCTTATAGAGTCTACCTTCTATCAGTATAAAATAAGTCTTGGTCACAGTTAATATTTTTGCTTTGAATTCAACTTTGATATTAATATTACAACTTTTAATGTTTTGAGATTTAACATTTGCATCTGATATCTTTGTCCATCTCTTTATTTTCAAACTATCATTTTAATTTAGTTTTTGTCCTTGTATACAGCATATAGTGCATGTAGTTTTTAAACTTATCTAAAAGTATTTGTCAGTATTTGATATGAGAGTAATGTGTTTGTATTTATTATCATTTCAGGTATGTTTGGTTTTATTTGCTATCATTTTACTTTGTTTTCTGTATTAAACACTTCCTTGATATTTTTTCTTTAAATTTTTTTAACATTATGCTATTAGTTGACTTGTTTTTATTCAAGTTTTAATAATATGAAAGTTATAAACCTATTTTTAGAAAACATAATTTTACCTTTGTTTCTCCATCAACATCCAGTTTAAAACTGGACTTGTACCTGGGAAGATAGAAATGCAACATGCTTTTACTTCTGTCTTCTGAGAAACCTAAATTAATGTGGAAAAACCCTGCAAATTTAAATCCATACTTTTATCGAGAATTTTGTTATTTATCTTTGCTTTTAGAATCATTTGTTTACATTTCCACGTGCTACATTAACAGTGATTATTTGGACTTAGTTCTGAATTTTTATGATTTTATTTCTTGACACCTTTTCTCTGTAAGGCATCTTCCTTATTCTTGCCTTCTTCATTTTCATTCCTTGATCAGTTGGCTCAGGCACTTCTCTGAGTAGAGTCATTTTTAGGAAAGTTACATGGTTGCACTGGGTGTTGGGAAGTGTATGTCTGTCGCTCCCAAATATGAACAGTACTTTTTCTAAACGTATTATTACTGAGTTACAGTCCTTTCCCAGCAAACTCCACACACATTGTTTGAAGCTGCATTTATATAGCACACTCTTTTTAAAAAAAAAATCTCAATTCTATATTTACTTGGGGTAGTTTGGGGAGGCACTGAAAGTGATAGTAGAGCCTAAAGCCACCCCAAGCCATCCTTTTGTGCCCCAATGATTCTGTCGGGCATGGTTCTGTAAATTCACTTTGTCAAGTAAGTTCTGATTTGTTGTAACATTTCTTTGCTACCCAGAGGTCTGATAGTCTGTCTTGGATTAGAAAGGGCTTGTATTAAGAGAATGGCAACCTCAGGGGAGGTTCACCTCTTTTGGCCAATCATTTCCCCATCCACATCAACCTTTGCTCGCTAAGCCTGGGCAGAGGTAGTGGGTGCAGATGGAGAAGGGAGAAATTAGAGGGGGTGGGGAGATCTTACAGCTCAGCTTAGCCCAACAGTATCCATCTGTGGCCCGTTGCATTTGGCATATATCCTCCCTCTTCTTCAGTCTTGGGCACAGTCTGTGAGCATTGCTTTGGGATTAAATCCCACTTGGGGTGGAATTTGGGTCACGTGTTGGAGGCTTCAGCAGGGCAAGAAATTGCTCCTCAGTGACTACCTTGTCTCCAGCCATAGGGTAAAATGAGGCACAACTGCTGGCGCTATAAAACCGTCTCCTCCTCCTACTAACGGAAGGAGCCCAGCCTCCAGTGTGTTTCCCCTTTGAAATGTATCTTACTGACATTCCTCACCTCCAAAGTGCACTTCCCACCCCAGCTGTGAGTCTCATTAATGTTTAACTGTCTTATTCATGGGGTGACTTGTTTCAAGAAATGTCTTGTTTCAAGACAAGAGCTTCCCTGAAGTCCCTTATTCTATTGCTGTAGAACAGGTCTGGCCATAGTTTGATGACTTGCCCAGGATCCCACAGCTCACTCATGGGAGAGCTGGAACACACATCTCTTCTACCATTCCCTTCTGTCTCCATGCTCTGTTGCTTTAGTTGATGACCCCAAGCATAATCTTACCATTAAGTTGGGATTAGAGCTTTACAGTGAAGGGAAAGTTCAGTGGTTTTTTTTCACATATATTCTACATAGGAAAGAAAAAAAGAATCAGGTGAAATTTTTACAGTTATTAGTAAAAAGCATTTTGTTAGGCAACTTCCGGAGACTTTAAAAATTATATTTATAAAGGCCTTTGTTGGTTAAATTCATACTATATGTTAGGAAAAATCTGATACACTTGAAAGCTCTGAAATTTTATTTTTACTTCTTATTACAGCAGGAA